TCGAGTTGAATCCAACTCATAGTGACCCCCACTGGGTTTCCAAGGCATAAATCTTTATGGAAGCAGATTGCCTCCTCATCTTTCTTCCTCAGAGCAGCTGGTGGGTTAAAACCACTGACCTTTTGGTTAGCAGTCAAATGCCTTAACCACTACACCACCAGAGCTCCTGTGGAAAAGTATGGTGGTTAAAATAATGTGTATTCTGTAAGAATCTTAACTTATTTAAAGAACCCATAAAAATGATTCCTGGATGATAATTTATTAATCCCACTGTTCTGGTTACCTAGTGCTCTGACAGGAATATACCACAAATGGGATGACCTCAACAAACAGGAGTTTATTCTTATAATTTGGAGGATTTAAGTCCAAGTTCAAAGTGCCAGGCTCTAAGGGCTGGGTGAAAGCCCCTTGTGGTGGTTATGTTTTTGTGTCAACTTGGCTAGGCCTGATTGAGTGGCTGGGCAGCTGGATGATGAGACTGGTAATCAACTCCATGGTGGAATCTACTGTGAGCAGCTGAGTAGCTGCCTTGGGGAATGTGGTCTGCTTCCCGTATATAAGCAGAAGCCTTGGGGAATGGTGTCTAGCTTATGGCACCTTGAACCCTGCATGTAGCAGTGTTGTTCATTGTTCAGTAGCCTGCCATGCTCTGCCAACCTTGGGACTTACAATGGACTTAAATCAATGGCCTGCCTGGTGATTTGGTAATATCGGGACTGTGCCTTTTTATTTTGTCAGCCTTGGGCTTGGCAGCCTCAGCAGCCAGTAGCTGTCTAAGTGAAGAAAAAGCCTCTAGCTTCAATGGGCCGGAAGCTAGAGGCAGAGCTATAAAGCCCAAGACTGAGGGGCTTTCACCCAGCCCCCAGAGCCTGGCACTTTGAATTCAGACGTAAAGCCTCCAAATTGTAACAATAAACTCCTCTTTGTTAAGGCCATCCCATTTGTGGTATATTTTTTGTCAGAGTGGCACGAAGTAACCAGAACACCCCTCAACCAGCTCTGCCTCCTGCTCCCAGCCCACTGGAACTAGAGATGTTTCTTCACTCAGACAGCTGCTGGCTACTAAGGCTGACAAACCCAAGGTTGACAAGTAAAAAGGCACAGTCCCGATGTTACCAAACCACATGGCAGGCCATTATTTTAAGTCCATTGTAAGTCCCAAGGTCAGCAGAGCATGGCAGGCTGATGAACAATGACACGGCTACATGCAGGGTCCAAGCGTGCCATAGGCTAGAGACCATTCCCAAGGCTTCTCCTTATATGCAGGAAGCAGACCACATCCCAAAGGCAGCTACTCAGCTGCTTGTGGTAGATTCCACCATGGAGCTTACTGCCAGTCTCATCATGGGGAGTAACTACCACTAGCTGCCCAGCCACTCAACCAGGCCTAGCCAAGTTGACACACAAACATAACCATCACACCCACGGATCATAAATAAATAATAAAAACAAAGAAAGTTTTACACAGACTTCTTAAAAATTCTACTTCAAATGAGGAGCCAAGGAATATTAAATCTAGACAGTAAACGGTTACTACCTAAAATTCTGTTGACAAGGTTGAATATTTACTTTCCTCCCTTAGGCTCAAAGCAACTATTTTATAAATGTCTTTCCCCTCAAACAACATAAACAAGTGCCTTCCAAAACAAACCTGAATCACCCAGAGCTTGCCCCTGTGTTAACATCCAAAGTAATTCTTTGTGCTCAAAAAGATTTTTCACTTTTTTAGCATCCACTGCAACAAAATCTTGAGTGCAACTCAAACATTCTAATCATTAGTAAAATGTTGGAAAGGCTGCCTTACAAAAGACACTGGTCCCTCTTGTACACATTCAGAATTTAAATGAGGTCTCAAGAAAGAATATCACATATGCCATTCATTGAGACACAAAACACCTTCCGGTGGCATACAAGCTTCCCAGGACAGAGGCCTAAGATTGCTTGTGCCCCATTCTTCTAACTCTGATTTTGCTGAAGCATTCCCTTGAATCCTTAAAATGCCACTGTGCATAGGGTTTGGGAGCTTGGAAAACTTGCTTTTCTGTAACCCCATCTCTGGGATACTTCTGGTTACCAATTCTAGCTCAGTAAAGCAGTTAAGAATTGCATCCTCTCTGCTAACAAATGTTTTAACAATTATATATCAGGTAGTGTACTAAGCATTTTATATGCATTATCTCCCTTAATTTTCACAACCACCTTCCACAAGGCAAGTAAGAGAATATTCATTTTCCAGGTGAAAAAGTAAGACTTTGGTTAAATAATTCACCTAAGATAATATAGTACGATAGACAACTAGGGTTTCAATTCTACTCTGGAATTCAGCTACATAACAATTAGGCTTTATTGCCTGGAAGATGCCAGACCTATCTTAAATTTTGTTGATCAATTCCAAAGGCTTTTAACATTTGTTATTCAGATTTAAATTTTACCCTGTATAACTTAAATTATATCCTGAAATAAACAGAAATGATGAAAACAGAACATTATAGGGAATACAGACAAACATGAAAATTAACTGAATACCTTGGTTTCTGGTGTAATTGCTGCCTCTAGCAATTTGGTTTTGGAGCAGTCAACGAAAGAAACTTTTAATCCAAATTGAGTTGCCACCCGGCTGAAGTATATGTTGGTACCTGAGGCAGGAGAGAATCAAATAAAATGGAGTACATTGTACTATATTAAGAAATGTTTGTTCCCAACAGGTGTAAACATTTTTAAAATAAGGAATTCTCAGTGCTCAAGAAAAATACAACTAAATGCAATTTTACTTTGGTTAACTAGTTTGGTTGTCCTGCATAGTAAAAAATATAAGGCTTGGATTTTAAACTAAAAGTTCAAGAGTCAAATAAAACACACCTGCTATCCACACCAAATGGCATGGAGCAGAATATGTTTCTCAAAACACGGAATCTCTACTATTCACATTAAGTGGTAAACTCCCTGAAACATTAATGTTCTTGTTAACAATTTTGTCCTAATATCCAAATCTAAAATAAATGAACCAATGTCTATAAAATGTTCAAAATAAATTTTTCTTCTGCATAGACTTTGGTAATAGAAAGGAACTGGTTATATTTCATTGTACTTTCTCAATCTCTTTGTTATGCTGCTCTGAAAGCTTTAACAGATAAAATGAGACAATGTAAAACAAACTACTAGATTTTTAAACTGAAAGAAGACAAATCAATTAATTAGAATGACTTGTTTTACAAACACTGCTTTGGATTTAACTTTTATACATGCAAATTTAAATTTCAATATAAAACTTAATATTGATAATTCAATAAAAAAATTAATAATCAAAAATACACTGGACTTTTCATGTTATATAGACCAACCTTACTTAATATGAGATTTGATAATAAATATAAAGAATTATTAAAATACAAAGCATACATTTTCTTAGAGAGATTGAAGGATCAATAAAAGTGAGTCTATTCCTCAAAAAACTTACAGATTCACATTTTGTTCAGATAGGAGATAATAAAATAACATTCGAGAAGCCATATTTTTATTATCTGGAAAAGTCTGGAGTATGTGTATATATTTACAAAATTCTTTGTTGTTGTGAACATGAAAATCAATCTTGCTTAAAGGTATGTGCAAGCTGTTTTCTCTACTCACTACTCTAAATGCTAGATGGAAGTTCTTAACTGTGAAGTCATGATGGGTTTCAAGGTGTCAATCTATGAGTTCCCTGAAATTAAATGCTCAGTGTTGTGTGTAGTCAAGTACATTTTCCAAGAGAAAAGGCTCATAGCTTTCAACAGATTTATAAAATGTTCCCTGAAACAAGGAAGAAAGAAAAAGTAAAAGAAAGAGAAAAGAAAAGCAGGTAGGGTTAAATTCTTTAAGAATGGCCTGTATTATGGTTCATCTTTATTTTAAATTACACTAGAACCCTCTCTTCTAAACATTATATCCTATAGAGCAGAATGTGTCTTAAAGTTTATCTCATTCCAGAAGAATTTTCAATAAAATCTGTATTAAGCAACCTCTTATTATGAGCATGGATACTAAGCATTTATGCTCCTCTTTTGCCAAGTCTAAGCCAGCACTGAGGTACCCATTGCATTTTTAAAAGACAATAAACAATCAATGATACCGGTAACATTATTAATATAATTCAAAACTCACTTTATTTTCTTTATCAGTTGACATGACATAAACAAGAAGAATCACTTACCTCCATATACATCATCCATGCAAATAATTTGGTCTCCTGCTTTTAAAAGGTGGGTGATAGTCACAGTAGCTGCTGAACCTGAAGCAAATGCCAAACCTAAAATAAACAGAAAAAAAAGTTAGAATAAGCCAAAAGTCACACCTATTGGAAGTTCAGTATAGAGTTCTCACCTTCCATACAATTTGCTCAAGCACAGCCCTCATGTTTAGAGGCCCTCACGCACAGATGTTACCCATCTGTCATGGAGGCTTGCATGCTGCAATGATGCTGAACAAGTTCCAGAAGAGCTCCCAGACTAATGTGAACTAGGAGGGAAAAAAGCCCTAGTGATCTGTTTCTGCAAGTGGCTAATAAAAACCCCACAGATCTCACAAGTTTATGTTTCGCCATAAGTTAGGGCCTGACTCGACAAAAGCAAACAACAACATTGTTAAAATAAAAATAAAATAAAACCTTGCAATTATCTTCCTCTTTCTGCTGATAGGAGAGCCATCACTCGAGTCTCCAGATGTCACCTGATAAATACCTTTACAGAATCTCCCTTCCTATTTCAAAAGTGAATTGGCTTTAAAATGAAAAAAAATATAATGTGGGCAGATATTTTTGTGTTACATCAATTCTGCCTTGGTTATAACATTTCTCTGAAACAGAGGAAACAGTGCTTTATAGAAGTCTGAGATAAAAGGCCTGTTACTAATTAAATTACAGTTTAAAAATGCCAACACTTGAGCCCTGTTGGCGTAGTGCCTAAGGCACTTGACTGCTAACCAGAAGGCTGGTGGTTCAAACCCACCAGTCACTCCTCGGAAGAAAGGTTGGGCAATCTACTTCCGTGGTGGTGCTGCCTCGGAAACCCAAGGCGGGGTCCCTATGAGTCAGGTCTGACTCCATGGCACATAACAACAGCACCAACAAAGAAATTTCAAAGTTATGAAATGGAGCCAAGATATGATTTATTCATTAATTATAAGGATATGCAACTCAGAAAATATTTTAACAAAACTTAAAATCAGACCTGAGATGTGGCTGATAAGTTTATATAATGATGATGGACATTTAAAACTCTTATTTTCCATTCACTACTTTGACATTGTCTCACATACTTTGATTGTTATCAGGAGGGATTAGTTCATGGAGAACAACATCATGTTGGGAAAAGTACATCAGCAAAAAAGAGGAAGACCCTCAATGAGATTAATTGACACCATAGCTGTAACAATGAACTCATGCATAGCAATGATTGTGAGGATGCACAGGATGGGGCAGTATTTCATTCTGTTCCATATAAGGTCACTACGAGTGGGAACCAACTCAATGGCACCTAATAACAACTCTGATCTTATTTAGTATCATTTATTAAAAAGAAGAAGAAGCTAAAACTATTGATCTCATCACATCCAGAGCAAAAGAGAAAGAAGGAAACCAAAGACTCAGAGAAGAAACTAGTCTATGGGACTAACAGTCTAAATGAACTATGGCCTCATGTACCGTGAGACAAAAAAGAACTAGATGGTGCCCACCTATCACTAATGACCATCCACCAGGGACACAACAGATGGATCCTGACAGAATAGGAGACAAATGTGGAACATAATTCAAAATTCTTAGAAAGTCAAGACTTACTGATCATGACCTGTTGAAACTAGTGGTCTCCCCAGGATTATTGTCCTGAGATACTCTTTAAATCTTGAAGTGAAACTACCCCCGAGGTTAACTTTCAGCTAAGTAACAGACTGGCTCATATAATAAAGAATATTACCAGTGAGTACTGCACACTTTTGAAAAATAATCTACATAAGACCACATGGTTAACAATTACTCTAACAAAAGATAAAAGGGTAAAGAGAGAGGGAAGCCAGATTAATGGAAACAAAATATCCAGAATAGAATGAATGAGAAGGTTGGCACGTGAAATATGTAACCAGTGTCACTGAGCAATTTGTGTAGTAGTAATTATTAAATGGGAACCTAATTGGTTGTGTAAACTTTCACTGAAGATACAATAAAATATTATTTAAATTAAAAAAAAGTAAGAAAAAGATGATTTCACAATGATCTACTCCCTTAAAAAAAAAAAAAAAAAAGAAAAATAAGATTTAAATAGTTAATCTCTGAGGCACATTACCAAGGGCACATGGCTATTTAACAACACACCATGGTGCTAATCTCAGGCACAAATAATTCGCATGAATGAACCAGAGAATAAGAAAGTTTATACTCTTATAGGTAGTGTTATAAAACTGAGTTAATGTTATTTATACACACAGCTTCGGATGAAGAGGGTACTTACATGAATTCTAAGTGGTAAATACTGCCATTTTCTCTCTTTTCATATTAGTTTTTACCTGATAATCACACTATGTATATCATACCAGTTGTGAGACCTTGAAGGAACTGTGGTGACACAATGGTTAAAGCATTCAGCTGCTAACCAAAAGATCAGTGGTTCAAAGCTACCAGCCATTCCACAGGAGAAAGATGAGGCAGTCTACTTCCATAAAGCTCCACAGCCTAGGAAACCCTATGGGGCAGTTCTACTTTAACCTATAGGGTCCCTATAAATTGGAACTGACTTGATGGCAATTGGTTGGGGTTGGGTTTGGTGAGACCTTGGGCAAATGATTCAATGTTCTGTTGAATGTTTTATAGGAGCTAATCTTTATTTTAAGATCTGTAGGTGGTAGTTTAGTGAGTAGCCCCTAGGTTCTTAAGAGAGTGCAAGCAGCCATCAAAGATGCAGTAATTGGTCTTTTTTCATCTGGAGCAAAGAACAAATAAAACGAGACACATGGAACAATGAGTCCAAGGGACTAGTGGACCATGTGAACTTCAGCCTACACAATCTGAGACCACAAGAACCATATTGTACCTGGCTACCACTGTCAACCACCCAGAAAGGGATCAAAAA